AGTTAGCAAAGTTATCCTGATTTTGAAACCAGCAGCCGTTGTTGTTGCAGTTTGCAGTATTTAATGTAGAGCTATGTAAATTGCTAGAGGAAGGGGGGGAGAAGAGTTTGATCTCAAAATATAATTTGGACTGTTCTCATCTTTTCTTGTGAAGGCTGCTTTAATATTTTTTTTGCTTCCTCCCAGTTTTCAAACACCTCAAGTCTCTCAAAAAGTTCTGATACTTTTAAAGATAAGGATCAAATTTTATGTATTTTTGTCTCTTAGTTCTCATGCCCTTGACGTTCAGGTTTGCAAACTTATTCTCCTATCAAAGGGCTTTAACATCTTTCCTTTTTTTTAATTTTTAAATGAGAATTGACATTCTCGTTTGATAATATCACTGTAGGAGCCAAGACTTTAAGAAAAATGCCAAATACCATAATACCTATGGGAATTTGCAACCTTATTATTAATAATGGGCGCCTCTCACTTCTCTTTAAGCCTCCTGAGATTTTTATGTTTCATCTAAATCCACCCAGATGCTTGTGATCTTTAAAGGTGGGGAGACAGTGGAAAAGTACTTCCTTGGGAGAAGAGATGATTAGAAAGCATGGACCCAGTTTCCAGTCTGAACCTCTTTAAATGTCAAATATTTTCAGGATTGCAATCTTGATTTTTCTCCACTTCTTTTTGCTTTGCTGGTAGAATGAAAAATTTGATTTAAGGTTATATGCCTGGAAAAATAAAGCATTTAATTTACATTTTACAAGGCAGTTATTGCAGGTTAATTAAATATCAATTGAGTGTTATAGGCCATATTAAGATTTATTAATAACCCAGCAGATAAATCTCCTTTGAATTCAATTAAATGAAAATCACATGAAAATATATGTGCAATTTTATTCATATAACACATAAAACTTGTGAATTATTGTGCAGCATTGTACAGTAAGTTGATTAATGGAAATTAATTGCTGAAATAGAGAAAAATCAATTTAAACTTCCTGTAGCAGAGAAGAGGCAAGGTTTACTTCTCCCTTGCCCCTGGAAATCTGAGTTCCTGTCTGCAGCTGACCCATCAGGCTCCACAGAGTAGGGTGCATCTCGGTTGCAGTCGTGCTTCCTCTCCTTTCACCCGCTGTAGCTCGGTGTTCTGGGCCTGGGCAGAGGCACTGCCCTGTCCTGCTGGTAGGGCCTGCTCAGTTAATTGTCTGCTTGAAGGTTTTGGAGATGAAAGAAGCAGCAGACTGACCTGCTGGTGGATATCCTGGACCCTGAAAGTGCTCGTGGGTTGACAGCAACAGAAACGCTGCCAGCTGGGCTGCAAACTCAGGAGCACACGGGTGTGTTGGGCTTTAACCAGGATCAGTGAGTGGATCCAGACCCATTTGGGGAAGCAAAGCTTCCAGCATCCCAGATGAGTTTCAGGAGCTGGACTTGGAAAATCTCTTTCCAATATTTGCAGAAGGATTGAGGCCTGGCGTGCTGCCACCTGCTCCCTGCACATCCTGTGTTAAATACTGTCAATATGAGATTATGTTCCAATTACAGTACCAGACTGACTGGTTTAACTCCTACCATGAATCTATTTTCCTTTATTACTATGTACTAACTATGTGAGTGATGTACCAGACACCAAAAGAGATGGTCTCTGCCCAGAGGGCTTTGTCTAAAAGAGACATGCCAGGAGAAGACAGAACACAACAGAAAATGCAGATGAATGAGTAACTCGGTTGAGATTTTCTTTTTAATTTGGAGATACTTTGCTTGTTTGTGTGTTTGGCTTGAGTTTTAATATTACTAAACTTGCTTCCTTCAGACGTTGCACAAGAACAGAGACTTCCATAGAAACTCAAACAGGGTTAGGCATGTGGCTCTTTGAAGTGTGTGTGTGTTGGGGGAGGATGCTCAGTGCACACTTGGAACTCTGGAGGGTGGGAAGGGAAGGGGAGGCACAGTGCAGCTGGGACAGCAGCTCCAGCACACACCACGGCTCACGTGGGGAACCTCGGCCGGGTTCAATGTGCAGCAGGTGCCTCTCTGGCTGTGCCCCCCTTGCTCCTCCTCCCTGCTCCTCGGGTATGGAGCACACACATCTGTCTCCTCTCTGCTCCATCTCTGCGTCTCCCTGCCATAGTTGTCAGGGATATTAGCATTAAATACTTACTGCCTGGCTTAACTAAGGGGTAAGATAGGATTTAATTTGTATGGCTGAAATCCAATTATATAATGGAGCCCCTGGGGGAAGCAGTTATACCTGCTGAATCTCTTGGATGAGTAATTGTGCACAAAGGCTCCTCTCCAGAAGTAGAAACAGAGCTGAAATATTTTTCTTTTCTCTTTCTCTTTTTTTTCCCCCTCCTTTCTCTACTGCTGTTACATAACAGGCCTGAGACCCTGAAAAGAAAACCAATGAAAACCCAGTGCAGTAGAAAGAATTAAAGCGTTGCCAGGAGAAAACAAGTTATAATCTGATAAAATCAAGGATCTAACAGGAAGTCTGCAGCAGCACTAGCTTGGAGGAGCCAAAACACAGGGCAGCCAAAGGAAGCTTACTCATCTTTTTGGAAAACAGCACAGAGGCTTTGCTGTCTAACTTTCCCCCCCACTTCTACCATGAGCAGGGAAAGGGAATCCTCTGCTTTCTTTTGTCAAAGCTTGGGAGGTGAGTAGGTATAAAACAAACTAAGCAGCCAACTAATTCAGATAATTTTGAAAAATCCCGCACTTAACTACCTTTAGAAAGCCCCACTCCTTATCCTGCATGTCATCTGCATCCTGATAAGCATGAAAATCATAGGTGAGGATGAGCAGGACAGGAGCAGAAGCACAATGAGGTTCCCAGCATGATTTCTGAAATCAAGCAAGCTTTGGAAGCATTGATCTCTAGGACAGTATTGGGCCTTGACAGCTGTCCTGACACCTTCAACACCTCCAAATCCCACCCAGGAATATACCAAGGGCTCTGAAAGGGACTGAAAACCTTCGTTCTTGTACTTGTCCAAACATTCTCAAAGGTCAGAGTGCCATACTTAATTTTATTGTTAAAAACAGAAAGCAAACTTTTATTCTTTTCCAATGAGTTCTGAGTGGAAAAACAATTTCCTCGGTTTCTCTGACACGGGACTGTAGGGAGCTAAGATGCTGACTGCAGCCAGGCAGCCGGGGGAAGTTCAACCCCCCAAATGCCACCGAGTGAGGACAAGCTCGGGTGGGCAGAGACCCCCATCCTTTCCATGAGCTTCCCTCTCTTCCAGTTCTTTCTCAACACAGCTAAAGCGAGAGCGGCCCAGCACTCGCAGGCCTGGGGAGGTCCCTGTTCCACGGGCTTGCAGCTCCACCCAGTGGCTCTTTCTTTTTTTGGGCGAGAGAAACCCAAGTTTGCAGAGCCATTGAGACTGGTGGAGGTCAACGCCGTTACACTGTGAGGATGCTCTTCCAACGTGCAGGAGAAACTGGGTGCAGATCTCTTCATCAGATTCCTAGCAAGCTCCCACCTGCCGTTTGAATAGCGCCAAAAAATGCCAGGAGAATTTTTAGTGAAAGAGAAAGCTCAGCAATCTTATTATTCCCTTCCTTAAATACTTCCCAGCATAAATGGTAGGAGAAGGAATGCAGGGAAGGGATAACTTACACACTTCACTTGCTCATATTCTCTATCAGCAGGCTGCAGGGATTTCCCTCAGATTTAGCTGTTATATGAAATTATTAATGAAGTACCAGAGCAAAGGATTTTTGATTTGTAAGACAAAGAATTCTCTTGTGAGTGTGAATTTTGGTGAAGTTAACTTGGCAACTTACACTGTACTGCTTCACTTTCCTTCCTGGGTAACTGCTGTGACTAACAAGAAGCAATATTTGATCGTTTCTATCAAGGATGCCACACTGAAACTTGCTTTTTACAGGAGTCCTAGAGAATCCGTATTAAAACAAGGTTTTATTTGTGCACGTGTACACTTTTACTGTAGGAACACTCAAGAGATGGGCACACATTCACAGAACTCAGCAGTGTGATACCAACAGAAGTAACTTTTGATTTGTACCACTGTTGTAAAAATATCCCAATCTCCCAAGCTCAGGTGAAACCCAAAATCTCTGTTGTGCTTCACGTAAGTTTACCATTCTCTGTATGTCTGAAAAAGAGAGGAGTTGATAAATGGATACAAACCACAGGTTTTGTTGTGAGTCTTCTAGAAGCACCTGCCCCATCTGTGTTAGGAAAATGTGATGTGTGAGATGCTGCTCCCAGATGGACTGTGCAGCTCCAGTGCCATGGAATGAGCTGGAACGACCTCTTCCTCCTGAAACTCAGATGCTGTTTAGCATAAATGCAGCCCCCAAGGCCTTCACTTGAAGTTGCTGTCTGCCAGTGCAGCAGTTGAGTGTGGGCTTTAATCTGTTTTGGCTTGCCACTAGAGTGCTGTGAGGTAAGAGATTTTGAGGTACAAACAATACAAATCCCACCTCTAAGCTTGTAGACATCAGCTATCCATCCATGCCATTAGGAAGCAAATGAGCCTATACATCGTTAGCACAAGAGATTGGAAGGTTCTTACAGGGAGAGTGATTCAAAACAGATACAATATTCCACACATTAAGAAGAACAGGAAGCATCTTGAAAAAAGTAGCTCTAGAAAAGGGAATTAATTTTTTCTTTTTATTAAATTTTTATTTAAAAAAAAATTTGCTTTTATAAAACAGGGCAAGAGCTTGCTGGACTTTCCCAGGCTTCCCCAAAATTATCCCTGGAGACCCCCTGAGTGTATGAGACCATGGCAAGGGAGAGTTCTGTTTGCTGAGGATGGAAGGAGACGGAGGTCTGTCAGGCTGTGGAGCAAAACTGGTTTGCTGATTTCATCCCAAGGCTGTTTGCTGTGCACCATCTCCCCTCTGGCCCTGGCTCTCGTGTTCCCACGAGTGATTCCCGTGCCCTGTGGGAACGAGGGAGGCCAGCGAGCCCTGCATCTGTGTGCACATAGCTGCTGTGAGAAGCTGTCTCCTCCCCCAAACAACGCTGCTTAGCCCTTGTTGCCCTGAAGCTGGGGGGGCTCCAGGTTCCCTGCAGCTGCTTTTAGCCACTGTGCGGTTCTGTGCTTGCTCTCTGCCCAGGTGAAGAGGGGTTTGTACCCGAAGTGCCTGGAGGCTTTGTCTGTCTCATAGGAGAACGTGGTGACGATCGTGTTCAGCAGAGGCACGTTCAGGAAAGGCTGTGGCTTCCAGAAAGGGTACAAGATGATTGTGATGATTCTATGCAACTGGATCATTAACCACACCTTCCAGTAGGGGATGTGTGAGCCGAGTCTCACTGAGGGGTCCATACAGGACAACAGCTGGTGCCTTATCAGAAAACCTTTTCTGGTTGGAGTGTCATCATAGGAATAATACACTTGTCCTGCAAGTAAGGCTGGTTTCAGCTGCAAGTTCCTCGCTGCAAGCACATGCATCCATGCAACATTCCCTGGAGAAATAAGAAGGGGAGGGATACAGGTAAACAGGAGGAGGTGTGTGTTCCTAGTTACTGTGGAATAAGTACATTGGATCCACTGGCTTCAGTGCTGTGGAGTAGGGACAGCACCATCCTGTTACTCAGGGGTACTGCAGAGGGACTGAGTAGTTAATCCAGACCTCCAAGATCACTGAAACCCCTGGTCTCCCCTTTGGGCTGGACAATTAATGTGCCCTGTGATCCTGGCTCCTGTGAAGCCAAAGGGCAATGTTTTGTAGCGAGAGCAGGATGAATGGGAGGCAGTGCTCGAGGGTTTTATTCCTGGCTCTGCTCTGAGCCTTTGAAGAAGTTACTTGATTTATCTAGGCCTGATCCTTCTCCAACAGCGTTTGCAAATGACTGTTATCTGCACTTTTGGAAAAAGACATATAAGTGTGCTGCACAGAAATAACTAAAACCCAGCCTGATTTAATGGTGAGTTATACTCCCCTCACACACATTCAACACCAGACCAAACTCTTCCTATAGGTTTCCTTGAGTAGCTTGTGCTTGCTAAAATCAGTCATGTAGTAGAGTCTTTTGCAAGGAATTTCACAAGGAATGTTAGTTTAATTTCTTCTAGTGAAGAAGAAATTGTCTTTTCAAACCAAAAATATTGTTTAAATCCTGCCTGAATTTCTCTCTCTCTCCCTGCACGTATCCCTTGAAACATTTACCTAGAAAAAGGATTATTAGATCTCTGCTTTAAAAGTTCTTTTACCCAGTCTAAGTTCTGCAGTTACCAAAGTATTTGTGCTCATTCACCACACTCCTCTCTCTGCCTTGGCAGGCTGTGGTTCAGCTGGGGTGTAGAATGCCCTGGGAGTGGGGCAGCCTGGCAGCAGCACGTGCAGAGGTGCCTCCTCCACTCACCCACGTAGGTGTAATTGCGCTCCGAGCCCTGGGGCTCCAGGTAGTGCAGCACACTGCCCCTGGCCTTGGCCAGCACATACAGCTCCTGCAGAAATGCTGCTTTCTCCCCAAACACTGTGTTGGCACGGATGATGCAGGTGACGAGTTTCCCACCGTTGCTCAGCTGCAAAATCGGGGGGGGATGTTAGTGAGTGATGGATGTAGAGATTAAATCTTCCATGGTGATATCTGGCTTTCCAGATAAAACCAAAACCTGTGAAGCTTGGGCTAGAGGAGTGAACATTTGCAGAGCTGCTCTGGACACTTAAGGCCTTGCTTGGGTCCTTAAAAATGCAACTACAAGGAGGAGCCCAGTTTGATTTTTGTTTTCCACAGCACACCTGCACTCATGAGAGCTGTTGGATGGAGGGTGCTAGTGACATTAATTCTGCAGTTGTGATGTATAAATGATTATTTGCAGCCACCCCAATCAGGTTCCAGAGGAAGCCAGCTAAGCTGGGAGATGCTCCAGGTAGTGATTTAGGACACAAGTCTCATTTTTACGTTCTCCTTCATCCTCTAGAAGAGTCTGTCTGACTGTCACCTGACTGTATGGTGAGTCTAAAAGACTTGCAGCTAGCTTGGGTAGGTGGCTGACTCTGGATACACTAACATTTGGATTCTTTAATCACTCAGGCACACCTGAAAATTACCCCTTTATGCAGTATGAACTAGATGAACCTGGTTTCTTAGGCCCTAATTAAACACAGCTCTTTCCAAAGTCAGTCTCCTTCTGGTGGACTAAAAGCACAGGCTCAAAGGGCCTGAGCATCCTTTGATCTGGCAAGAGTTTGGCAGCTTCCTGATGCTGTGGGAATATCAGGCTTTGGGAAGCTTAGGGCCATGTGGAGCAGTTATCCAGCATGCCTCAATGTGAGTTGTGGGGTCTTTCTAACCACCTCTCTCCTTCCACCCATCCTGTGCTGCAGTCACAGGGGTCCTACCACTGACTTTTGTACCTTTTTTCCATTGGCTTCCAATACAAGTTTTTCTGCCATGGCCTTTGTCTTCCCATATGGCAGCTCCACTTCTCCACTGTATCTGGTGTCCTCATTTCCCCTGAAACAGATTGGGAGAGATGGTGGGATGGCCACAGAGTGCAGCACAGGGCTCGGAGAGATCTGTCACACTGTGACCCCCCCTGCAGTGCCTGCTCTCCAGGGACCTAGTGCTGGCTCTGAGTTATGGGAATCCGAGTCCCTTGCTGCAGTTTGAGAGAAATAAGGCCTTGAGAAATACCAGGTGGTTCTAGGTGTTCATAGGCAGCTTTGCATGAGGGTAGTGGCTTGAATTTGAATTTGGTTTTGTCTAATAGCGTGACTGAAGCAAGTAATATCCTGGCAGGCAAATCAGAAGGCAGTGGAGTTCCCTTTTTAAGCAACTTGCAAGCACCTGAACAAGGTGGAAAGAGCACATGAAGATGAAGGGCAGGAAAATGAGATCAGTCCTACTGTTTTTTTTCATTAGAGGTAGAAAAAAGCCTCTCATGAGCCACAAACTTGAAGGAGAAGCTGCCACTTAATTTTCTTACAGAGCTCATTAGAGTTGGAAGACGTTTGCCAGTGACATGATAGAGCTACTCGTGATCTCCTGGAAGGTATGTAATCAGCAGGTTTGTGCTGGGATTATTCTTTCACCTCCCATGGCAAATAATGCTCAAGGGGAAGAACAAAGAAGTGGACCCACGACTAAGGCCAAGCAGGGCTCACAGCCATGCTGGGGACACTTGGCTGCCACTGTGGAAGACAACCTGCTCCTCAGCCACAACGAGGAAAGCCCGTGGGGTCTAATACTTATCTGGCCTCACAGGCCCTGAAGTCATTCCAAACAGAACCAAGAAAGCAGCTGTATTCCTCACCAGGGCACTGGGGTTTTGTCCCAGCAGTTCTAGATCAACATTAGCCCACTGCAGCATGTGCTTAAGCAGGTTCAGTGGGCTCTGCAGGGGCTGGGGGATGGAGAAGCCTCGTCTGAAGCACTGGGAAGGAGCTGAATGCTATGGGGCCCTTGCTCCCCTGCTGCCCTGGTGAGCATGGACAGGCTTTCTCTCCCTCTGCCTGCTGCAGGAGCTTCCTTCACATTGCAAAATTAATTTACTCTAGATTTTGTTCTCCTAGAGAAATTCACCCCAGGCAAACACCAGACTCTGCCAGGCATGGGCATGACCCTACCCAGGTCAGGGCAGAATTATCAGACTTCTTTTCCAGATGGGGCTGGGGTGCATCTCATGGAAGGGTTAAGTGACCTGGGATGAGCCTGTGCAGCAAATCTGCAGCAAACACTGGGTGTTGGAAAGCAAGCTCTGACTCAGGGCAACTGGCCTTGGACGACTCACTTACTCCTTCCTATGCTCAGATCTCCATGTGTAAAATGAATAATGCTGTTGCCTTTCTCTTGCCTGTTTGGTGGTCTAGTGCCTTGTGTCAGACAGCACAGCTGAGATCAGGGCTTTCCTGTGCTACAGCAACAGAAATAAGTTTGGAGCATCAGAAATGCAGCCTCCTCACACCCCCTGGGCTTTCAGCACAAACTCCTCCTCCCCGTCCCTGCATTTACCAGTGATGGGCAAGAGACAAACCAGAAACAAGGAAGACAAAAGATTGGTTGTGCCTGATTTGTTGCAAGCCCAGGAGAGGCCCAAGACAATTAGAAGGGTTATCTAGAATGTCAAGTTTTAATTGCTTTCTTTTTTTTAATCCAAATTTATTGTCTACCTTGCAAAGCTTTTAGAGACGAGCAGCTTCACAGAGGGACAAACCTGGCTGCTGCTCCCAGGCTGCACAGCTCTGCTCCTCTCTGCCTCCCCCACCCCTTCTGAAGCCTGGGAGTAACAAAGAGCTCAGGGAATGCTCCTGCTTTTCAGAACGATCACAAATAACTGAACACTAATAAGAGTGGAGCAGCATTGTCAGAAGGTGTCTCAGTGGTGGCTGTCTCAGGGGGATTGGGACTGACAGAGGCACTTTCTATTATTGTCAGATGCTGAGGTGTGAGCATTGTCCCTGCACCCATCACCCTGCCCAGGACTAATCGTGCTTTGTCTGTGTCAGTCCCTGAGCACCTAAAAGTGAGTTAAATAAAATTATATGAGGAATGATGGAGAAGTGGGATAGAGAAAAAGAAAAAGCAAGTGGGATCATGGACTCTGAGGAAGAAGAGCAGAACAGATTGGGTGGGGATGGAGGAAATGAGAAGAGAAGGAAGGGCAAAGCCACATCACCTGTGCTTTCAGTCTGGAAAAGAGACCCACATTACACTGCCTTCAAGGCACCACTGGGCTCCCTCTGAGACACGTGGTGTAGTTTTCGACTGGAGGTTGCCTCTTCTCTCATTTTTCATTAGATAATTCCTGAAATCTCTGGGGAACAAGGACTGCTCTCACAGGCTTTCACCCCACATCATGGCAGAACCTGCGTGTGTTCTGCAAATTGAGGTAAAGGCTCTAGGTAGTGGTTTCATTTGCATTTGTGATGGGGAAGTATTGGGAGTTGGTGGGCAAATGGTGTTTATGAACATCAGCCCGGATGGTTTTTTGCTTCCCTCCATTGGTGGGTATCATCAGAAGCCAGGACTGTACTCTCAGGCAAGATTGGGGGTAGATTTTCCAAGTTCATAGCTCCCTCTTAAGTCACAGGACTGAAGCACTAACAAGGATGTGTCTATATCTACATTCATTTTTAGAAATGATTTAGATATGCTAACGACCAAATTCCACAGCTCTTCAGTGACACAGAGCCTCTAGTGCTCAGGGTCCCAAGTGAACTGAAATTCATTGCTCTCATGGGTATTTTTCATAAACTAGACATTTATTCTAGAGATCTGTGTGCTTAAACACTTCTCAGAACAGGTAGCTTATGCCTCAGCTTGCTTATAAGTATGAAATCTAGGCTTGTGGGTCATTTTAAGTTAGGTATTAAACAGCCTTTTCAGCTGGGCTCAGATTTCTAGAGCCAAATGACTAAAGCCAGCGATGTCTTGTCTGGGTGCCTACAGAGACAAAATGTGACTTTGAGCCAGTTCCCCTTGCACACAGGTTTCCATGGTTTGAGCAGTTTGTATGGCTACAGCCATACTTGAAATCAGCAGGGCCTTACAATGGTGTGTGGCAGACTGCAGCTATCCCTACTTGACCTCAAATTTAACCTAAACTTCACCTCCTGGTCTTCAGAAATACCAGCCCTGGTCTCCAGGTGCAGGCAGTGTTGCCCCATGAATAGAAAAGGTATCCAGATACTGTGCCTTGTGTCAGCTGGTTGTGAAAGTCAGTTCTGGATATCAAATACCTATAAGCAAAAACCCCTCCAAATCACAATTTTGACCACTATCTTTGTGTTGCTCCAAATGCCACCTTTGCTGCATGAGGTTTTCTGAAGCTCTGATGCATCTTCTGGGTCTGTGTGTCAGTCTTTAAAGCCACATACAGAAGAGCTCGATTGGGCATGACGACCAGAAGTGTAAAGTCACTCGTAAGGATATTGCCAGGAAAAGAGATTTTGAGGGTTAAAATGGTGTAATTTACAGGTCACAGCAGAGTGTAAATACACATGAACACTGCAGGGCAACTTCACACCAAATGCATCTGTCACCCAGGGCTGTATGGCCAGATAACCTCCTTCTGAGACAGTGCTACAATAGTCTGTAAACACCTGACCACATCTGACAGTGGAAGCTGGGTACAGGCTTGCTAGAACTCACTGCAGAACTGACAAGAGGGGGAAGAGTGGGGGGCAGGTAACAGCCCAGCATCAGCCACCCTCTGGATTGACTCAGTGTGGGGAGAAGAGCGAAAACTCTGCCCCAGCGTCAGAACACAACTTGACCATATCACAAACCTTAAGCACCTGAGACCTTATCTGGAACCCATTTTGAGGCTCAGGGGAGCAGGGCTGTACATGCTGGGCACAGCCTCAGGGTGCACTTGGGTCACACATCCCTCAGCCAGCTCTTTCCACCAGTGATATCCTCTACTGGTCAAGTTTGGAAAAGGTGTGGTTCCTGAAAGTGAAGAGCAGCAGAGAAGGATTCCCAGGAAAGAGGAGGGGAATGGACAGGAAGGGGAAGACATACCAGCTCCTTTGTAGCCACAGCAAAGATCTCCACCTGGCTGCAGTTTCACCACCATTCCACTGGAAATCCAGAGTGATGGAGAAGATTTGCTTGGCCTTACCTGCACATGGGCTCGTGAGAGGTGTTGGGTCCCACTGCAGCAATGGAGCTCGTGTAGACAACATAGGGGACGTCACGGGCACAGCAGGCCCTTAACACATTTTCAGTACCTGAGGGGCAGGGTGAGAAGGACAAACCTGAGCCACCTTTGCCTTCATTCCTGTTGTGCAAATCAAAAGAGATTTCTAGGCTTGGAACAGTTCCCTCCTTTTTAGGGCTGAAAAGATGTAACACCACAGATCAAGGCTGCAGTTCCTCGGGTGTGTTTGCACAGGAGAGGATGGTTTATAACTGGGAGTAGCAGTTACATCTACAGCTACAATGTGGCTTAACCTCTACAGCTATTAACAACCGACTTAACTTGGGTTTAACAGTTGCTAACAAAAAGGAAGCTGACAGCTGGGCAGAGCAAACTCCAAGTTTTCCATCTTTGTTGATGCATGGGCACTGTCAAATGGTGAACTGCAGCCTTCTGGCAACAGGACTGGTGGTTTAGTTGCATATATTGTTCTACAGAAATTCTGTAGGATGACTATAGGGTGAAAATCATCCCAACAGTATCGTGATCTCTACAGAATTTGAAACAAAATCGTGGGGGCAGCTTACAAATCCAGTGAAATCCAGATGAACCTGAAACATGGTTTAGTTTAAGAAAGGTTATTCTGGCTGAACTTGTGGGTCAGTGTGTGTGATTTTTGTTTAGTTGATTTTTGGGGTTTAGGCAGAGGGGATGGGTTTAAATGATTTATGACTCTTCCAGGAATGTTTATTTGCATTCGTTGTGATTTTGATTCAAGTTGATCCTACGAGAGCTGCAGTGACAACAGCATAACCATGGGTGCATACTGAGGGCCTTCAAACCTGATAAGGCAGCTCTTGAAGGGAGCTGCTCATCGTGTTGGTTTCCAGAACTCTCCACACTATCTGCACCTAGCTAATTAGGCTCTGCCCTTGAGCCTTGCTGCAGGTCTTGTGTGAGGAGGGCTTGTGATTCCTCTGTTCTCTTTGTTAAGGGTGTAATCTGAAATCATCAAGGAAATCCTGAGTTTAGGATCATTTACAGGGCATGAATCAATATGAAGACCTGGTGGAGGAGAATCAATTTGCTTCCCCATAGCCTATCACAACATGTAAAGTTAACTGAGAACCCCTGTTGAGAAACATCACTGGAAACAGCTGAGTTAAAATCTTTCAGCTTAACAAAAAGCAGATTAAAAAGTCTTTTAGTGACTAGATAGAAAAATAATTCTTGTAGAAAAGGGCTCTTCAACCCATTCAACAAAACTATAAGAGGATTTGGCAACCAGTGGTTGTTGAAACAGAGGAGAGCATCAAAACAGAAGATGTAAATTTTTTGCCAGAAAAGGTAAGTAACCACAGTCACACCAATACCCTTCAGCACTGTTATGGCTTGCTGAAAGATATGATAGATAGCCCATTAATTTGCAGTCTTTAATTCTAGCCAATCAGTCTTTTGAAAAGTCCAATTTAGCCACAAATTGTTTGGCCTAAGGCAGTAGTTGGATGAATTTCTGTGGCCTGAGGTACACAGAGAATCCAGCTAGAGAATTATATAGTTAACCTGTCTTGACCTTATTTCTTTCCCCTGAAGTCTGCAGCAGGTATCAAATACAGTTCATTTTCATTCTTTTACCTCCTATGATTTTAATAGACAGCTTCAGTCTAATATCTCAATTCAAGATTTTGAGAAGTCCTAGTGAGGGCAGCAGCCTCATTTTGGGGATGTCTCGTGAAGCCATCCAAGGGGAGGCAGAAATGCAGAACAGTTTGTCTGAAAATGAGGCTCCTGTGAAGATGTCTCAACCTGTGCCCCTCAAAAAGGCACAGCCATAAGCCACGCTGGAGAGAAGCTTGGGGTGTGTGGTGTCCTGAGAATGTTGCCAACATCTGCAAGAGGTTTGGTTTGCTGAGCATGGAGTTGCCCAGTGTTCACTGCTGTCTGTAGAAACCTCGTTACGCTGAAGAACCTTGCTCACAGCAAGCAGACAATGAAGGGGAAGGTCTCACAGGGCCATTAAAGGCAGCAGGAACCCTCGGGCTCTTAAGATTCTTGGTACACATGCACAATACAGGCTCTTAAAAGCATCTGTTTTTGAAAACAAGTACAGCTATGGAAAGAAGGATGGAACTTAAATGTTGCCCTTGAATGTATTGGCAAATAGTAGAAGCCCCAGGCAGTAATCGAGTTTGAGATATATATGTATAAAATACATAAAATTCCTTCCTTGTGGTTAACAACCATTTTAGTGGCTAACAGCCTGAGGTGCCATTGGAATTGCTGCTGTAATAGGGATTTCATTATTTTTATAGCCTCGACTTGTTTCCTAGATTTATGAACAAATTTTCTTTAAGCAGATCCTGCACCTAACATGAAATTGGCTCCTTGTGGTAGGAAGGAAACGTTGTGAAGCTCTCAGTTCTGCGTGGTTTGTAGGTATGTAATAGCTGTGAACTCTGACTGTAATTAAAATAGCACCACTCCCTTAGAGCACGGATGCAGTTCAGCTGGTGGTCCTGTCCTAGTGTATGTTGTAGGGCTTTTTTTCCCTCTGGTAAAACTATGAGTTATCTAGAACAGGGGTTAGCTTTTAATTGTTGTCCTTATCACATACTGAAGAGTTTCTTACCACTATAGGCATGTTCTGAATCACCTCAGTACAATTAGGGGAAGTTATACCCTTGACCAGAATAACTATATAATGAGTCTAGATTTGGCTTCCTAGGATGAAGCTTTAGCAGTGGAGAAGAGCAGCATGGTCTGCCCTGAGCAAGGCCAGAGGGGCAGTGACAGAGCCTTCCCCACTGGGAAGGAATGGTCCTGGGCACCTTTCTCATCTCATGGCCAAGTGGCGTGTGTGGAATTCAGAGGGGAGGGAGCACTAAACCAGAGAGGACAGGTTTGTCGTGGCCTCTTGTATGACTGCACCAAGACGTGTGAGTTTAAGGCTGTATTTATCTGCTTGTTTTAAAGAGCTTACCCCCAACATTGACATCTCTCATCTCCCCAAAGGGCAGGATGTTCCTGTAGTCCACGACAGCGGCCGTGTGAACAACCACATGCACTCCCCCCATGGCAGCCAGCAGCAGGTTGTAGTCTCGGATGTCTCCTTTCATCACTGTCACACGTGTGGTAGCTGGAGAAAAACAATATAACCATAGCTGGATGGGGAAAAAAACTACAAATCAGCATCCCCACCCTCTTGCAGGAGGAGGGTCCTGTTTGGAAAGCCTTCTGCTCTGCAGGGCGAGCTGAAACACGCTCCAACTAATGGAGTTACAAGTAACACGAGGGGAAAATACACCCCAACTGATGAACTTCAAGACTCAGAACCCCAAGATCTGCATCTGGTTTAATTCAGCACAGCACTTTGCCAGTTTGCAGCAACTGTGGGTCAGAGTAACTGTGGCTGTCCTTGCAGATCTTCAGCATGCCCCCAAGGTCAGCACTGGGCAGGGACAGGAGACCTGGCCCGGAGCTGCAGCTGCTTCCAGGACTTGCTCCAGTGTGTGTGGATGAGTGAGACTGTCTCAGTTTCCCTAAGAGAGAAGATTCTTAGAGCTTACTGGGAGAAACTCCAGGTGACATTGCACAGAGCTTTACTTAAATTGCAAATACTATAGGTGGGAAGGAAAATAATATAACAGGTTAAAAAGTTTCACAGGGAATTCCTCCCTTTAACCCATTTGAAAGTCAGGGGTTTCCCCTCTTTTTTCATTCTCCTTCTCCCTCAGAACAGCAGTTCCATACATGGCTACTGTTGGTATCTGCTGCTAATGTCCTTGTTTTGGGACAGCATTGTGACATTTAGGTGGGATTTTTTTAGTTTTTCTCCAGCTGGGACCAGGCCAGCAGGATGCCAGGGTTATGAAGCTCCACAGTTTTGCAATAAGCCAGGCAGCAGCAACAGTCACGGGGCTGCCTTGGGAAGGAAAGGTCTCCTCTGACCTAGGCTGGTGGCTTCCCAAACAGCCCCACGTGGCCAGGGAGCAGGGGAGTGACTTCTGAAGGATCATATCCACGAGCAGCTCACAGCCTGTGACTTCGGCCGTGGAAGCACTGGGGCATGGGAACCCTCAGTGAGCAACTGTCAGGATGAGGTGATAAGAGGGTTACTCCACTTGAACTCACAGCAGGGTTCACATTCAAGGCAGTAGGTCAGCCAGCTTCTTCTATCAACTTAGAACTATACAATTCTATATTAAACCAGACCTGTCCCCAACCCGAGCCCTGAGGGACACCGCTCGGGACTGACACCAGCTGGATTTAACTCCATCCCCACAACTCTCTGGGCTCGCCCATCCAGCCAGTGTTTAACCCAGCCAGGAGTCCACCACTCCAGGCCCTGAGGGGCCAGCTTCCCCAGCAGATGCTGTGGGAGATGGTGTCAGAGGCCTCCCTGCAGTCCAGGCAGACACCCACCGCTCTCCCCCCATCCACCAGACGGGTCACCGGGTCACAGGAGATCAGGTTGGTCAAACAGCTTAAGGTGATTTCTTGATTAGCATAACCAAGATTTGGTGGACTAGCTCATAAGAGCTGGTAACTAGCCAGGTTGAAGTGTTAAATAGCCTCTTTCACATCACCTGTCTGAGGGCTGCTGGAGCAGTTAAGACCAGCAGGAGGATGATGAGAGCTCAGACAAACCCAGGGAGGATACAAGGCAACCATGAAAAGTTTTCAAATTGATAATTCCTGATGAGCTTTATCCATGGCTCCTGAAGAGGGGATAGATGTCACTGCAGCTTTACTGTATAATCAGCTACTGTGGAGAACATTTGGAGGCACTGGAAGATTGCAGTAGAGCAAATGAAGCACCTGTACTTAGCAAGGGGGTAAAGAAGAGCCAGGGAATTACAGAACAGCTTGATTTCAGGAAATTCAGAAACTCACACTTAACACGTGTGTGGGTACCTGCGGGATAATGAGAACAGAGGCATGGATTTGTCAAGAACAAATCCAGTCAGACAAATCACCTTTGTTCTCATGGCAAGGCAGCAGGCTGCACTGATGCTGTGGAGCAGGTTAATGTCACAGGTCTTGATTTCAGCAGGGCTTTGGAGGCTCCCTGTCCATCTCATCAGGAAGTCAGTAAAGCCTGGTTGAAGAAAGCCACGTTAGGGTGAGCACAAAGCTGCTGAATTACAGTTCCCAGGGAACTGCTGGCTGTGGAAGGTGGCTGCCCTGGGGCTGTCCAGGGCTTATTGCTCTATTTGAGTGTTTTTGTTGTTTCCAACAAGAATCTGTCAGGTTTGTTCATTAAATCAGCAGATAACTGATCAGACTGGGAGGGATCTGAAGTATGCTGAAGGATTAGAGTGTGAGCTGAGCATAACTAGTAGAGTCTTGAGAGAAAAAAAAAAGGGTGAAATCTGATAGGGACAAAGAGAAGGTGTTGGACTTAACAGGGAAGAGGCAGTGGGACTTCATGAGAGAATTAAACTGGGCCAGGGCAGCTCAGGAGCTAGTGCCTGCCAGCAGAGAAAAAGGCACAATTGTGCTGACAGGTACAAAAAGAAGAAGAGTTTGCAGGACAGAACAAATAAATCCAGTGGCTTTACTCAGCACTGGGAAGGCCACAGCTGGCCTCTGTCCTAGCAGCCGTGTCCCTTCCAGAAGAGGGAGGTGCCCAGAGGCACAGCCACAGCAGGGGCTGCAGGGCAGCAGGAGGGCTGAAGGAGAAAACATTAGGGAGGGGGAAAGGTGGTGTTTCAAAACTCATGAATTGTTGTGAAAAATGACAGTATTGACCTATTCTGGTTGTGAGGTTAGATGAGAAATCAAGGACTTAAACTACCAGCTAGACTGTACCAGCAGTGATGGCCTGACAGTGCAAAACTGGCTGCCCAAGGTGCATGGGGACAGGACAGCAAAAATCTGCCAGGAAGGTCCTGGCTGAACTGACTCCACCTTGGGGCAAAGCAGCAGGAGGCTGAGATGGCCCCTCAGGGCTGCTTCTGTGACACACACCTCTCCTAGAGCAGTGACTGTGGCAGCTCCTTAAGCTTTAAACAGGTTTTTTCTTCAGTTACGGGTGCTTTTAGGACAATTGGCTATCTGAAGCCTGGGGAAACCAGTCTAATAAACTCATCTGCCAAGGGAGGGTTTCTCATAGTGATATTTCCCTTGGAGTCTTCTAACTTCCTTTAAGTGTATTTCCTTTCTATTGATATCTCTGGACAGATAGAATCTCCCTTATCATTTTTTCCTCTCTCCTTTGAAGAAGGCTGAAGGTTTGGGCAGCTGGGGAGGAGTCCTGGCCCACCATTAACTGTGCAGAGCACTGCGAGCTGCACTGACCTGTTTGGGGTGGGCATTCTCAAATCCAGTAAACCAGGTTGTTCCTCCCCAGCACATCTCACTGCAAATCAGCCCCAGTGAAACAACAGAAGTCAACTCTCAGAATATGGTCAAATGAATTAATTTAATATCTTACTGAGACTCACATCTTCCTTACTGTTTCTGCAGAGTTTTCTGCATAGGTTTCTCTCAATTATTTCTGTAAATTATTTCACATCTGCAGCAGATCCTGAGCTTGATACCACTATTGTCAGAGTTTTTTGGTTCTTTTTCTCAGAACTGATAAGTGGTTGGAGCAGTTCAGGAGCATGGGGGGGTGTTGTCCCTTTGCTGTTAGGTTGGTTGAGCAGAAGCAGCCAAGTAGCCAAGCTCCTGTATCAGGTACTTGCTGTGCAGGCTGCTGCTTAGAACTGATCCCTGAGTGGGGACTTAGATCCTCCCTGTGATTCATCTCCTGGGGTTACACACTGTGGAGCTTTTTCCTTTGATTTAGTCCTATGCTGAAAAACGTCTCTCAGCTGGAAGTTACTCTTCCTACTGTCTGTTTAAACCAGGTTCCTACCCCAGCCATCTCCATCAGAATACCAGCTGCCTTGAAAGGGAGGGCTATGGCAGCTAAGTAGAAGCTGATGCTCTTCTCTTACCTGTGGTGAATTTTTCTACTTCTTTTCTTGCTACTGAATCAAAAACTCTGACTTCTTTGATGTAGTCTTGTTGAGACAGGAGCTCTACGATCTTCTCCCCAATAAAACCACATCCTCCTGTCACCAGGTAGACACAGGCTTTATCCATTTCTGAAGATAGTTTTGTGGCTGAGGAGTAGAGAGAAGGTTGTTGCCAAGATCCTATCAGGAGCTGTTAATCTCTCAGCAGTATGTTATCTGAACTAAGTCTAAAGTTTAACTGCCATACAAAGGGCCTGGCTGAACATTAACTCCATCCTGTCACACATAAATCATTTTCATTGGCACAGTGACATACCCGTGCTGGCACAGGCCAGCCTGGTCCCTCTGGCTCATCCTTCCCTGTCTGCCATGGCAGCCCATGGTGGGGGGCACCTCTAGCTTGCTCGGTGTGTGGGCAGCCTCAGTTCCAACCTTGATGCCAGTTTCCCACCCCAGACAGCCCTCCCCCAAGGCTGGGTAGCCCGTGCCTGTCGCCTGGCTGCACCAAGGTGGTTTGTGCCAGAGAGGTGCTCAGGGCAGCCACCTTTCAGTGAGAGGCTGCACAGACCCTGCTCCTGTGCCCTCCTGGCTTTGTGTGGGTGGCAGCGTGGCAGATCCACCCCGTGCTGGGCTGGCTGCACCACAGGCAGGGGCAGGACTGGCCTTCTGCAGCTACGTGGTCTTGACCATGTTTATCAAGTATAAGCTCTCCTGAATGACTTCATCTGGGTTGGAGCAGGTGCATCCACACGTGTGTGCACACATGCACTTGCTTATTTAGGAGAAGAAAGTCCTGCCTTGATTTGAAAAAAAAAATAAATCTAGTAGTAAAAGCTCCACCACATCCTTTGGCAAATTGTTACAGTGGTTAATTATAATTTTTACCTGCTAGATAGTGACTGATGTATTTTTTTCTTGCTACAGTGAAAGGATGTCTGCCATGCAGTTTGTCATGCAGGTTAAAAAGGAAATGGGACTGGCTTTGTCCCGGGGTGTTTGGTCCTGTCCTGTGGGGTGTGGGGGAAGGACCTGCCCTCTGGTCTGGCTGTTTCTGCCTCTCCCATCACGAGCTAACTCAGAGCTAACGAAGCCAGGCCTCATCAGCTGCCAGTCTCTCTTTGATGCCAAGCAAATGATTTCCTGAAGTCTGCAGTGGTCAAATATTTTCCCATCCATATTTGAGCCGACTTGTCCTGGTGACCCACAGGCAGTGTCCCAGGGGAGGCAGCAAGGAGAGCCAGGGCAATGTCACCTCCCTGCTGCCTCTCCTCACACTGCCCCCAGCGTGGTACTCGCCTTCCTGGCCAGTGCTGCTTGGGGGGCTCAGGTTTGGTGTGTGCTGCCAGGCAGGCAGGCAGGCCAAGGTAAGAATGACCCTGGCAGTGTTGTTCTCTGCCTTCCTGCAGTGCAACTGCTTTCCTCATTTCAGCCTTTAGCATCATCCAGGGGAAGGCTCCAGCCCTCCCAGTGCAGCCCTGCTCAGAGCCCAGGAGTGGGGTGGGGGAACAGAGACCCTGCCAGGGGAACCACGAGCAGCTTGCTGCTGAGCAGGCCGTTGATGAAGAGTTAAGGCAGTGTATTTATTGAAAGAGTAACTGGGTTTTATTTGTGAGTACATATTTTTCTTTTAATCACCTCCTGCTCGAAGTTCAGCCCGTTCAGCTCTGCCACTCATTTATTTATTTATCCATTTGTTTGTGTGCTGAGCGTTGGGCAGAGTGCAGCCTCCCCTTGCTGTGATTCCAATCAACGCCCATAACAGCCCAGAGACCAACGTGGGCCTGATGCTAATTTGGTGCTTGGCAGACCAGCAGAGCCACAAATGTCCCGAGAAATTAATTTAGCCTTTTATCCAGCAAGCCCCAATCTGTACAGCAGTGATTAACAGGACTGGCTTCCCTCAGAGGACTTTTTTTCAAGGATAAATGTATCAGGGTTGGAGGTTTTAGGACACAAAAACCAAGATAAATACACCCTGAGAGACCCAGAGAAGTGCTGCATGGGACTGTTTGGCATCAAGTAACCTTGAGTGTGTCCTCATCAGTGATGCAAAAAGCTGTAAGAAGCAGAGGCCTTGCTGCTGTGGGTGTTTCTCAGTGCTTACAGGAGTTTGCCTTTGCTACACTACTGGCATCTGCAGTGTAACCTTAAGGGGTGTGGGGGGGAAACTGGCTGTGATTTACCTATCACTTGTTTTCACTAGGATTTCAAATATAAGTTCAGAAAATGGAGCAGTCAGGTCTCTGGCAGACACAGGCCAGGTCTCCTCCTCCTCCAGCCAGGGCTCGTGCAGAGCAAAGCCTCCCATTGCAGACAGAGAGCTGCATCTAAACAGGTCATTGGCCCCAAACTGGGTAGTTGTGCCCATGGTAGGACAGTTAAAAAACAAAAAAAATCCCGGGTCACTAACCACATCTTCTTCTGACAGTTTGAATTGTCACAAGAGGTGATGACTTTGGGGGTCTCCATAAGCCCAGAGGCCAATTCAGAGAGAGCACTAAGTGGGCAAATGAAGCCTCTTGTGGAGGCAGCAGCTGCCCGGGAGGCATCACGGGACTGCAAGGAGGGGTCCCAGGCAGCCCTTGCTGTCTTGGATTAGCCACCATGACTTCCCTGAGCTGTAAGGAACCTTGTGAGTGAGGCAAGTTGCAACTAACAACTGATTTTAATTTAAGCAGTGCAGACTTCTCACTCTGGCTTGTTCCCCAGCTGCAGTCTGTGGCAGCCAACCCCTCCTCAGTGTGTCCAGCTCAGCTGGGGGAGATCTGTGACCCCTGCACTGCTGCTGATGGAAAACTCCTGCAGGAACAGGAGGGCTGCTCCTGCAAGAAGAGCCTGCCACATGCAGGTACTGCCCCGTGCTGCAACACAACCCACGGTGCTCAAAGCTGACATTGCCTGAAGGCTTTACCTAGGCTGCTTTTGGAATGAAATGTCCCACCATGAGGGCAGGATGTGCCCCTCTGCATTTGGTCAGTGTGGCTGGGAATGCAGAGGAGTGACGAGGTGCCCTAGAGACAAATCCCAAACCCCTGAGCTGGCAGCTGAGGCTGCTGAGGCAATCCAGCAATATCTGCAGAGGAGTCACTCCCATTGTGAGCAAGGAAACCTGCAGATTTCTTTCATCAACATGGTTTAGTGGTCATGGCAGTGTTGGGTTCATGGTTGGACTTGATGACCTTGGAGGTCTTTTCCAACCTTAATGATTCCATGATTCTATTTGGCTTTAATTAATGAAGCCCCTTTTTGCCCCCCCACCCCACAGAAGATGACCAGAAGCAGGGTCTTGATGCATAATCTTGATTTTTTTAAGAGATCTGCAAACAAATAGTCAGAGAAAGTTGAGATGGCAGAAAAGAAGAACAGATGCTCTAATTTCAGGACACAATTCTCTTGAACTCGCTCTGACCTTTGGAAACAGAGGACACCTGACATCACAGTCACTTACAGTATGTTTATTTCTCAGTGCATTACATGAAAGGTCTTTGGTATTTGTGGGTTCTTGAATACTGTTCCCACTCTGCTCTGTAAGAAAACGCTGAGTACAAAACATTCCATACACAGTAACAAAACCCCTAGCAAATAAAGAGACATAGATATCTTGAACAATAACATAGCAATATGAAAACAGATAAGTAACCATGCAAGAGGTGGAACAAATAGGTTGTGTTCACAACAAACACCAGAGCTGGCCATAAACGAGTTCATTGTGTCAGATGAGATTCATTC